TCAACATTTTTTCCTCATACAATGAGTAACATTAATGATGTTTTTATCGTGTTGTCCAATCATCACCGCTGTCCATTCCAGATTTTTCCAGCACCCATTACAGAATCTAAGTCCCACCTAAATCCTGTTTCTTCTAGTTCAATATTGGTGGGTGCTGTCGAGTCCGTTTTGGCTCATAGCAACCCTTTGTACAACAGAAAGAAACACTGCTTGGTCCTGAGACATTCTGATGGTCAGTGCTGTCACTGAGCCCGTTGCTAGGCCTGCAGTGTATTCCACTTCACTGAGGATCTTCATCTTTTTCTCAGACTCTTGTTCTTCACTAAGTACAGTGCCCTTCTCCAGGCATTGGCCCTTGCTCATTACAGACCCTTATGAGATAAAATCTCATTCTTACATCCAGGTACCATACTGGCAGCTGTGCTATGTTTCCCCTTAATTCCTAGTCCTTTCTCTTCCCAACTTTATATCCCACCTGTAACATCAACCAGATGAAATAGAACAGAGAAACACTGACCCCTTCCTTGTAGTGAAACACTGAGCTCCCAGCTCAGCCAGTACTCCCTGAAGCATCCTGGTACATATAGAGTACGGTAACAGCAAAGCACATTAGCTCAGTTACATAAGCTTATACATTGTTGTCATTGATTGGCGTCAAGTCGACTCATAGTAACCCTGTAAATAAAAGGCCTAAAGCCTTTCTGTAACTATTGTCAGTTATCAAGGTTCATAGAATTTCCAGAGGCATGTTGTGTAGAAAGTGGATGCCACTTCCTGCTTCTTATACATACTGGCTTATTTTTTTCCCCTTCCTCTTTCATGTTTACCATTGCTTCAATCCAGTGACCACAGTTTCATGATCATTTCTCTTTTGATTTCTTCATAGCTAGCTATGAAGAGCATCTCCTAATATCTCCAATCCATATTGCAGTTATATATACTAGCATGTCCCACATCAGCCTTCCTCCTTATCCCAAACTTTAAGAAGATTCCTATTTCTTTTCAGAGAGATGGATAAAGGCCCAAGTCGAGCCTTGAGGCATGGAAATCTCAGGTATAAGCATTGAGAGCTTTGGAAGCGTCACGCCTGCCACCACTAACAGAACATAGTTGCCACTTAAGATTTGCTTCCCACAATACCCAAACTGATATTTTTTTTTAAATGACGTAAGTTAGTCCCTAGGCTGAGAGAAATTACAATTAGATTACTACATCCCTATTTGTATTTGCAATTTCATTTCATGAATTCTGCAATTAAATTGACCCACCCCACATATTTCTTTTAACAAAAAGGATAGCAATATAAACATTGTCATTCAGAAGTGTATAAAAAAATTGGTTTTCAATTTCCCAGGGAACTGTCTGATAGTAGTTTGAATGGAGCATTCCAAGTCCCTTTCCCTATGGGAAACCTGTAAAGCTACATTTTACAGTTTTTATTGCCAGTTTAAAATTCCATTCGGTTCAAAACAAATTTGTAACATGTTTTTATTCACAACATCTAATTCCAACTGTTAATAGGAAGTCGTTGCAGGGATTTTATTTTCTGTTTTCAGATGCCCTGGCTTCTTACCTTCAGTATATTTTGGAAGCATGAGTGGCATCCACTTCCTAAGCAACATGCCTCCAGAAACTCTATGAACTTTGATAAATGTTGATAGTTATAGAAATGCTTCAGGGGTTTTGTTCATAGGGTCACTATGAGTCATGTTCAACTCGATGGCAATCAACAACAATCTGAGCAATTACTCTGGGTCCTTCCTGGACACTCTTCACTGTAGAATGGGCTCCCATCCCATCCTATTTCCCAGGTTTCTTGATCCCCTCCACATCTGCTTAAGGAAGGAGCCTTCACTCCTAAGCCCAGGCATTATCAAGCCTGGGGTTGATGTCATCCAGTGTAATTCTGATGGTGTCATTCCTGCCGTGACCTCCTCCCATTCTTGAACATACAAAACATTCTTGTTTGCTAGTAATGTTTTTTTTATAAATTTTAATCATATGATAATATGTGATAAGTATAGTTGTCAGTTGCTTAAATATACCATTTCTTTGATTATATTAATTCTAACAATAATATGGTTTAATAAATTTTTTTTTCTTGTTAGTTACATTATTTGTAACTAAGCCTTTTGGATTTTTTTCCCCTTCTTTTTCCTTAATTATACCTTCACACTGATTAGAATTATTACTACAGGTTCACAAAAACTAAATACCACAATATTGTAGGCTAAAATGTTGTTGTTGTTGTTGTTGTTATGTGCCGTCGAGTTGTTTGCGACTCATAGCGACCCTATGTACAACAGCCCTAAACCCTGCTCTATCCTGTGCCAATCTCATTGCCTCTGACACACCCATCCCAATTACCCCAGTCACTGAATCAATCCACCTCATAGAGGGTCTTCCCCTCCTGCGCTGTCCCTCCACTCTGCCCAGCATGATGTCCTTCTCCAAAGACCTGTCTCTCCTTACAACATGTCCAAAGTATGTCAGGTGAAGCCCCAGAATCCTTGCCTCCAAGGAGCAGCCTGGTTTAACCCTGTCTAGGATGAATCTATTTGTTTTCTTGGCAGTCCATGGTACATTCAGTACTCTTCTCCAGCACCACAGCTCAAAAGCATCCATTCTCCTTCTGTCCTCCCTAGTCATTGTACAACTCTCTGATGCATAACAAGCGATTACAAAGACCATGGCCTGTATCAGGCACACCATAGTCTCCAGAGAGACACCGTTGCTCTTGAGTACTTTAGAGAGGTCCCTAACCGCAGACTTTCCCATCGCAATACGTTTTTTTATTTCCTGGCTGCTGGTGCCAAGAGTGTTGACCATGGAGCCGAGCAAACTGAAGCTGTGAACAATCTCAATCTCTTCACTATCCATCCTGATGCTACCAAAAATACCTACAGAAAATTTGACCTAATCGGTGACTATGAACACTCCATCAGCATCAGAAACAACAGTCTGTGGTGGTAGCACAAACAGATGAAACCACTAGGGCTGGCTGCACTTTCTAGATTTAGCATCATCAATATTAAAGTCAGAAGCCCCCTGATGAGATGGATTGACAGAGTAAATGGGGTGATGGGGGTAGGTGTGTCAGAGACAGTGAGACTGGCTCAGGATAGGGCAGGGTCCAGAGCTATCATACATAGGGTTGCTATGAGTCGCAAGCGACTCGATGGCACATACAGCAATAACATCTTCAAATATTTTTTCCACAAAATTCCTATTCTTATAGTGCATTCTTAAAGAATCTCAGTGATTGTTAATATAAAGTTAACATGAACAGAATGCCAAAAAATAAATGAACCCATAAAGCTCATTTTCTCAAATGTCTCTAACCAGCCACTTCTGTTTATCTCTTCTCTGAAATCACCAAAAATTCTGAGCCTGATGAGCTAAGCAAGTTGTTAACATCCCATCATAGCTGGGATGCCATGGACGATGAGATAGCGTTACTCTCTTGTCCTTCAGATAACATAAAATACCATGCTTCCCTTAGCAGAATTTGAAGGGGAGGAGCCTCCATGTGCACTCCCTTTTTTTTAATGTTTATTAATTTTTACAGAGATTTTGGATTTCCATTCATTCATTGTTGCACTTGGCTCCCTTCCCCCCCCCCCCAGTTTACTCTTCTCTTTGAAAAGTAAATACCCCAACCACGCCCCGAGTACACTCAACTAGGCAACCTTCATTCTGGACTCTTGTGATAACCATAATACCCTATCATATATCTCATTTAACCTGTTCTCCCCCTCATCTCCCTTTTTTACTGAGAGAGAGATCCTTTGGAGATAAGTGACTCCTTGCCAAAGCAAAGCGACATCAATGGGACCTTCTGTTGCCATCTCAGCCGTACTCACCCAGACCCCAAAAATCTGTGACTAGGACAGATTTTTTCAGTTCTTCTCTCCATGTCCTTCATCTCTTCTCTATGTCCATCTCTTTGGCCCATCTGCTTCCTCATTCCTTTATCCCCGCCCAACCCCAAGTCTGTCTCCCAAACCCCAAAGCAGAAACAAACCGAAGTAGCTCTAACAAACATATACATTTAGGTCAGACAAGGTATTGTTCGTTTGTTCCTACAGCGTAGTCCTGCGAGATATGACTGTCTTTTACATTATTCAAAGTTGTTTGTTTAGCCCAAGAGTCTGATTCTTGAAAACAATCATCTGAACAGCTGAGCAGTAGGAATTAGGAAGTGGCTGCTGGTGATCTGATTTCCAGGAAGAATTTGCATTTCTATTTTCCAAGAATATTTGGCTGGCAGTGTTTGTCATGACCAGGAAGAATCCTCTAGAAGAAAGGGCACAGCACATTTTAACTTCCTACTTTCCAGCATTGTCTTGTTCATAAACCACATTTGTGCATGTCAGTAGTAATGTAACATACAGAGGCAAATCATAATTTATGTAATATATTTCAATTACTAGTCTATATCCAAAAAAACCTTTATCTCTAATCTATTCTAGTCTATTTAAACTACTTTTTTTTAAACTTGATTTGTTTTTGGGGGTTTGCTATGGGGTAAGTGAACCTTACCGTATATGCTTTTCCTGAATTTCTAATGGCTGTCTGACTTAAGAGTCTATCCCAGGCTCAAAAAGAAGTAAATACAAATAGTCCTCTGACATGAGAAGCTGACTTTGTAATAAAAGGTTGGCTATGTCACAGCTCAGAGTACTGCTTTCTGCCAGTTATTTTTTGGAGGCAGGCAGGAGTGCAGATCGGAAGCTGTTCTGGATTCTGCCTTCTCTCCCTGATGTCCTATAGTCTTCATCTCAGGAGTGGAGAAAAACTGGTGAGTCAGTGGCAATGCTTAATCAGCTATGGCAAATGAGATTCCCTCTCCTCTCCCCAACCACCTGCAAAATAAATGAGTACAGCCTGTCTCTGAGTGTGTCATCTATTATACCGAACATAAACGATCTTTTCTGTGTGGGAGAAAGTCAAACAATGCCGTGATGCTCTTCAATAATTTGTATATTCTTCCCTTTCAGGTTCCTTTCAGTGCTACAATGTCACCGGTTCGCTTGCATTCCTCCAACCCCAACCTTTGTGCAGATATTGAATTTCAGACTCCCCCCAGCCACCTCACTGATCCTCTGGAAAGTTCCACAGATTACACAAAGCTCCAAGAAGAATTTTGTCTAATTGCACAGAAAGGTAAAGACAAGGCGAGATGGTGTCTTAGAGAATCTTTCTTCTCTGATGAGAGGCTGCCACTTATTCTTTTATCTTCATCTTAGTAGCCATGGCAGAAAGATGGCATGTTTTTTAATACTAGTCTGAGTTCAGTTTACAGTATGAATCTGGACACTGTTCCCAGGATGTAACTATGCATCAGAGCTCTACAGTTTTGATTGACTAACGAATCATTGAATTGAAAAAAAGGAAGGAGGAATAATCCTAAACAATTCAGCAAATACTCAACATCTGTTCCCTCAGTGCCTTTTAATTGTCATTTCTTATCAATGTATTGTTATCCTTAATTTGTTTTGTTGTGTTGTGTACCATCAAGTCAGAAACCAACCCACTCCAGCGGGTTTTCAGATGCATTTAGGAGATTGTCCATCCTTCTCCGTGGAGCAGCTGGTAGCCTCGAACTGCATGCCTTCAGGATTGCAGCGCAGCTTCTTGCCACTAGGCCACCAGAGCTCCCTTAAAAAGAAAGAAAAATAGATTTTGGTTGCATTTCTTTTTCTTCTTCTTCTTTTTTTTAGCAGCACACAGTATATTTACTGTGTAATTTGTGAGTCAAGAATGCAGATAGGGATCATCTAGTCAGTTCTGTTCCACTTGGGATTGGCCGAACTCACTTGATGGTATGAGGCTTGGCTGGGTAGAAAGTCCCTTGTGGCTTCATTCTTGGGGCTGGCACTGTGGTAGCGGGGCAAGAACTACACTTAAGTATGTCCCACTCCTCATGGGTTCAGGACTCCAAGGAGACCTGAAGTAGAAGCTACTGTAGTCAAGATTTGTCCAGGAGCCGGCTCAGCCTTCACTTCTACAGGTGGTCTGGTGACCTAGCCTGCTAGGCGTTGAGCTCCTAACCCCGAGGCAAAAATGTACCTCTCTAGCAGTTGGGATCCAGCTGCGCCTCCAAGGGAGAAAAGTGGGCAGGCTCCTCCCATGCAATTTATAGCCTCAGAAACTCAGCAACTGAGATTTAAGTCAAAGCATCACAGGCAAGCCTACATTTTAGAAGAAAAAAAAAAAAGACCTGCCTAAGTAGGAGCAGAAAACGGGACACGAGGGCACAGGGCTGAGGGCATCTTTCTGAAAGGTCCAGAGAGAGTAAGAATAATGCAGCCCCTCATTGCCTCAGAGCAGAAAGCAGGTCAGGAGCCTGTATCCCAGCCTCATGGTGCCTATAGAGCCCCACCAATAGTAAGAGGTTGTTTTATTCATTGCTGACTCACCTTTATCGTACCAAGAGTGGGATTTATGGAGAGTGAGTGAGACAAAGAATATCGCAGTATTATCCAAAATAAGTCCCAAGAGCTCCAAGGCCCAACCCCTCGGTTAATCTAGGCTCCAGTTTCCATTCAGCAAGCAGCTTTTCCTTCCATCATCAAAGACAAGAACAGCAAAATCTAGTTATGTATGGCCAGCACAAAGGCAAGGAGCTTCAGGCCACACCTTGCCACCATTTGTCCACAGCAGTGCCAGGCTCTCGATCACCAGGGCCTCGCTCTCACCTGGGTCTTGCCTTCACAGCCTTGCTCGCCTCAAGTCTTGCTGCCCAGTGTGAGAAACCCTCTTTATATTGGTGCTTCAGCTGTTGATGATTAGCAAGACTATGTGTCTGCAGTTAAGGCAGCTGGAGACCAGAAGGGCTAACTAATGGCTTAAAAAAACAAAACAAAACCAATTTTTACGCTAACAGCACAAGATCCTACCTTGAATTTCTTTTTTATGTTAAATTTTCAGTAAAACTTACTAAGTTAAGTTGCCATCATCAGCCAGAGTATAGTAAGTAGAGGGTGGATAATTGTATGTACTTGAAAACTCAGTTCATTGCCATCAACTTGGAACCTATTCAACTTGATCCTCCAACAGGGTTTCAGTGGCTGTGAATCACATGGGAGGAGATTTCCCATCTTTTCCCCACAGACCAGCTGGTGGATTCGAACTGCCTGCCTTTGGGTTGACAACACAACTCCTTAGGCTCCTACACCAACAGAGAAATATAGAGGTGGGCTGAATGATCCTATCTGAGTTTAAGAAGAAGAATGGAGCTCCCACTTATTGCCATAGCATTTAACTTTAGCCACAGAAAGTTTATGTTTGCTTTTAAATTAGGATAATGACCTTTCTGGGTAGTATCTTTTAAAGTGTGTACTCTCCCTGATTTTTTTCACACATTTATATACTTTAGGGATGCTTGTAATAGGCTATAAAATATTCTTGGAAATGTATGTTAAAGGGAACATCTCAAGTGCCCCCCTAGCACCCAAGTAAGTGCCTGGCAGCTCAGGAAAAGAAAGGGTACACATAGAAAACCTCTCAGGAAATATTGAAATATATATACCCATAAGCCATCAAGAAAGATGTGATAGCTGTAACTTTTCTTAATTAATAGTCTTAAAAATCGTCTTTTCTATAGATTTCTCAGTTGGGGTCCTGTAAAGCCTTCTCTCGTTCTCATCTGTAACATAGATTTATGACCAATTACGCCAGTTCTCTTAACTTCCAGCAGAGGGAGCCAGGTAGAACAAGATAATAGATGTATGTGAACTGTCTCATAGCTGCTAAAGGGAGACTGGTAAACCTAAAGGTAATTCAGTAAAGCTTTGTGTATTTAGTTCCAATCCTGAAGCTTTCAGAAATCCATATTTCAATAGTTTTAAAGTCTCTGTTGAAATGGATGTTTTCTTTTTAGCGGACACAGAAATCTGTACACTAGGGGGAAAAGCAAGTTATGAATTTTAAAATAGCCGAAGATTCTGCTTTCAGAACTTTCAGTGGGGTTAATGTAATTCCAGTTACCGAGTTTTCACTATTAGCTATAACAGGAATTTCACACATAAATCAATAGACCATGAGTTCTTTGTGATACTCCCACCTTCTCTCTCTAACTCAGGACATTTGGTGGTAAAATCATCTTTTAGAAAGAGCTTTTCTCAACTAAAGAAGATTTTGCATTCTATTGAAACTCCAATACTATAAAGATACTTGCTGGAAAGTCAGCTCTTTTGTACATCAGAATTAAAGATGGCCACAGATTTTACTAATGTAGGTTACTAGAGGTGCAGGGATTGGGGGCCAAGGAGTAGTAATTTGGGTTTTGTTACTTTAAAATAAAAAGATTTCTGACATCAGAAAATTCCCTACTATGAGTAATTCAAGTGCCAGTCTTAAAACACAATTTTTTGATGATTCTAAAGTATTTATAGGATGCTTTACAGTGAACAGAACTTCCCAAATAGTATCATCAAATATGACAAAGTAAGCCTTGTTCTCTTTTGGATTTGATATTGGTGTCATGTATGTCACTTTTAAAACTTTGTTGCCTTGTCTAGTATGAAATGCTGAATCTTCCATTCCAATTAATTGCCAATAGCATACTTTTATTAAGGAACCCTAGTGGGGTTAAGTGCTTGGCTGCAAACTGAGAGATTTCCTGTTTGAACCAACCAGTCTCTTTAGGGCAGTAGAGACTTGGTGGTCAGTCTCCTCCCATTAAGTGTAAAGCCTGTGAAGCCCAGTAGGATAGCTGTCCTCTGTCACACTGAGCATGTGAATCAGCAGCATCTCAACAGCACACAACAACCACAGCCACCATACTTGTCCTTAGTATACATACTCCAAGGAGCCCTGGTGGTGTAATCCACAAGGATTTGGACTGCTAACCGAAAGGCCTTGACTCTCCAGCTGTTTGACCCCACCAATCACTCTGGAGGAGAGAGATGGGAAACCTCCTCCCATGTGATTTACAGACTTGGGAACCCAAAGTAGCATCATCAAGTTCAAACTCAATGACAATGAATATAGTTAACAGTAGTAGCAGCAGTTGTTGTTGGTGGTGTGTGTCATAGAGTTGTAACAATCTAGGTTTTCAGAGGGTCTAAATCATCCTGGAGGAGATTACTTTCTTTCTCCCTCAAAGCAACTGATAGAATCAAATCTAGTGCCTTTCAGTTGGCCACACAACTCCTTACCAGTAAGCTTCTGGTGTTGTTGTAGTAGTAGTAGAAATACTTTTTTTTTTATTTAATTTTATTTTATTTTATATGTGTATACCATCAAATAGGATCTGACTGGTCCAGGAGGAGATTGTTCCCTCTTCCAACAGAGCATCTAGTGGATTCAAACTGCGTACCTCTGGGATTGCAGGGCAGCTTCTTGCCACTAGGCCATCAGAGCTCCCTTATTATTTCTTTTTAAGGCTAAGATTTAATTAGCTGATAACCTCAGAAAATGTTTTTAGAAGCTAAAGCTCTGTGACATTTACAGTTGTGCCTTTCTTTCTGTATACATTTATGTTTTCTTCGCTTTTCTCCCTGCCTTCCTTGCCTCCCCACCCAGTGCATTCCTTACTGAAGTCTGCATTTAACAGCATAGCTATAGAGAAGGAGAAGCTTAAGCAGATGGTTTCTGAGCAGGATCACAATAAAGGCCACAGCACGCAGATGGCTCGGCTCCGACAGTCCCTGTCTCAGGTAAACCCAGGGTTCGTTTCTACCTGAAAGACATATGCCAACCCTGTAAGACCAAAGAAGGGGGATAGTCAGCCATGGATGTGCTGAAATACACCCATGAGGTGTCAGTACAAAATATTATTGAGGGGGGAAGAAAGTAAAAATAACCCCAGTTTGCTTGCAAGCATATAATTGTTATTTTGACTGACTCTCCTAAGGTCATTTACAAGGCAATCCCTAGCTTTATAAAAAAATCATGCATTTATGCATGATTTTTATATTTAGAATATATGTTCAGTTCAATGCTAAATAGAACAAAACATTCTGGATGTATCACAGGAACTATTTTCCCCTCTTGTTTCACATGCTAATCTGTAGGAAATGACTCATCACTGCTAACCATTTCTTCTTTTTTTTAAATTATTATTAAATTTAATAATTTTAATGAACATTTACAGAGATTTTGGGTTTTCATTCATTCATTGTTGCACTGTCATTTCTTCTTTTTGACTTACAGTCTTAGTTATGCTTTCTAAGTTACGGTCCCTGATATTTGACTTATATATTTCAAATTAATACTATCCAGTTGAATTCATTCTACCAATCACATCTCTCTATACATATCAAAAGTGAAATTTCTGATGAAATTCTTTAAAATGCCTTTAAGCTTCCTTTTTTCATTTCCTGTGATGTAAATACTTTCATTATTTAACTGTTAAGTGCACGAATGTTAATACCTTTGGGGAATTCAGTTTTGTTACTGACTTTTGTGAGAGAACTCGGTGTTTATATAAAATATTATTCACTTCCTGATGCCGTGGACCAGAGTGAAGGAGCAAGCAAATCCTGGGTAAGTGGTTCTCCATGTGGGTCAGCTCCTGCTTGGGTAGTTTCCTTCGACCCCTAGAAGTCCGACCTAAGCTGTGTCACCATGTTTGATGTACCCGAACTGTCAGCTTATTTTCAGTGTTGAGTTTCATGTTACTGAGCACTGTTGTCTCGGTCACACTTTTTGTGTCCACTGTAAAAGGCCTGTCAGTTCAGGTGCATACTTCCCCTGCTTTCAGTGCAAAGCGAGGGGCTTCAGGAGCATGAGCATTGAAAGTGGCCACTACTCTGCCAGTTTGCAGGCTGCTTTACTTGTAAGAATGCGTGAATGGTTACCCTGTACCACTCTCCCTGGCACTAACCTGCTGAATGTTAGTTGATATTCACTGATAACACATCACGAAGATCAAAGTAATGGTCAAATAAGCATGCAGATATCCTTTTCTAAGCCCATAAAACATGCTCTCCTCCTCCTAAATGTTGCTGTGCTATTAGTTGAGCTTGTACCAAGAAAAATAAGGAATTTTATAGCTTGATTTTACTTACTTGTTAGTAAGACTGGCAATGATATGGTAGGTTTGGACTTCAGGGGAAATTAGAAATTCAAGAACAGAAATTTTAAAGCTGGTATCATTTATGTATTCATTTTATGTCGTTGACCTGGCTCTCCTAGATACTACACAAGGTGCTTAGAGCAGTACTGGCCATCTTCATCATACCTGTGGTTCATGATCAGATGAGTGAAATGAACATCATTCACTCAGGAAACAGTTAATGGACCATGAGGCGATACAGATACATGGGACTCAGTTTGGTCAGAATAAGAGGTCCTTCAGCTGACAACAGAGCCATAGATCAGAGGAAGCAACCTTGAATTGTGCCCTGGCAGACAGCAGTCATTCCTAGTAAAATATAATATCCATTCTGTATCCTTTCGATTAAATATTTCCTCTCCTTTGCAAACATAGGGAGCTCTGGTGGCTTGTTGTTGATGTGTACCATAGAACTGGAGCCAACCCATAACTGACCCCACAGTGGGTTTTGAAAGGCAGTTAATTGCACAAAAGGAGATTGTCCATCCTTCTCCCTGCAGAGAGGCTTGTGACCTCAAAACTTGTGCCTTCCGTATTGCAATCCAGCTTCTTGCCACTAGGCAATTTTTTTCCACCCAAAGGTACATTATTTCAATCCACCAGATGCTCTGCAGAAGAGAGATGGACCATCTCCTTCTGTGTGATTTACTGCTTCTGAAAACCTGCTGGATGGTCAGCTATAGGTCAGTTGATTCACAGTAGTACACAACAACACATCTAAACATGTATTTGGATCTCAAGTTAGAGCTTCAATTAATTTTTGTTGGAGTTTTAGTTTTGTTATTGTTTGGGTTTGGTTTTTTGGTTTTTTAAAACCAAATAAGCTCAATTTTAGACACAATAACTTTACTAGAGAATTAGTTCTCCCAGTTCCATTATCATAGCAAAATTATCATTACAAAAACAGAGGAGAAAGAAAAAACCGAAATGAGTGTCAGATGAGACTCTAAAGATTGCACTGGAGTATCAAGAAGCCAAAACTAAAGGAAAACATAAAAAATAAAAAAGGAAAATATGCCGAAGTGAAAGAGCTGAACAGATAATTTCAAAGGGCCGCTCGGGAGGACAAAGCAAAGTATTAAATAACAGAATGTACAGAGAGTTGGAATTGGAGAATAAAAAGGGCAAAACTCGATCTTCATTTCTCAAGCTGAAAGCACTGAAAAACAAATTTAAGCCTCATGTCACAATATTGGAAGTTGGAAGATGCTATGGGCTATATATATTGAATGACCCAGGAAGTGTCAAAAGAAGATGGAGGGAATACACAGAGTCACTGTACCAGAAAGAATTTATTGACACTGAAAAATTATCAAAACAGGCTGTGTCACATTCTGGGGTCTGTTGTCCTGTCCCTCAGGGCTATTAGTAATACCCTCACTAGCCAGCTAGCCCCATCACTCTCTTCTGAACTCTCTTCTGGGACTATGGGAGCTCAGCCTTTCCAAGCATATCACTGTCCATGAATAGGCCATTGGAGAGGTTTGTGAAGAATGTAGGTGGTTCATAGAGGCTGGAGGAAAGGATGAACAAGGAAGAGTTACTTTAGAAGGAGCTAGATCAGTAGACAGAAACCAACCCACCAGGGACCACACAAAGGGGTTCAGATTTATTAGTGTTAGGGAGACCTTAAAGGATTTGAACTGGTGAGCAATGATATTGAAACTTTCTGCATATAAAGGAGCCTTCTGGTCACACAAAGATTAAGGTACTTGGCTGCTAACCAAAAGAGTTGTGATTTGAACTTCACCAGTGTTGCTGGCAGAGAAAAGGCCTCACAGCCTACTCCGATAAAGATGACGGCCTAGGAAACCTTATGGAGTAGTTATGCTTTGCTTCGCTAATAGGGTCTCTATTCATTGAAATTGGCTCAGAGATACACAACAATTTCTGCATATGAAAAAGACTGCTCTGTTGTAGTGTGGACGATGGATAGAATGAAAGCAAAGCTAGTTAGAAAGTTATTATAATGTTGTGAGTATGTGTCACTAAGCACAGAGTGCCAGTGCAGTCTGAATGTAGGAGTGGGCTTCAAGGATACCAAGAGGGGAAAGCCAATATGATTTGGAGTTCAACTGAATGTTGGAGAAGAATTAAACAGAAACAAGACAAATTTCCAGGGTGTTTGGTTTTGTGTTATTGGGGGTTTTTTTTAACCTAAATAATTTTGTAGATAATTCGATATATAGATCTGGAGCTCAGGAGAAAGATCTGGGCTAAGAAAATATGAATACCCTAATAGATAAAGAAATTTAATTGTATTGATGAGTTGTATTGACTCAGAATAAAATTGAGTCAGTGATGCTGCCATAGAGAAGATTAATATTTAAAAGACATGCTAAAAGAGAGAATCCTTTGGGAAAGACCTAGGGAATAAGAGGCAAACAATTTAGACAGCCGTGACCACTGAGATCAAAGGTAGAGTCTTTCTAGATGGTCTCAAGGAAAAGGTTAACAGATTGCAATTTAGTGGTGAATAATGTATATTCTTTTAAAGCCCCAAGGCCTTGAGTTTGGCAGTCAGGAAGCATATTTTAGAATGATGAGAAAGAAGCTATAATGGGATTGTCTAAATTCCATTATAAAGAAGTCATTTTAAAAAATTCCATGGTAAAGAAGTATCAAGGGTTAGATTCTTTCTGGAAGATTAGTTGTAAAAAGAGGGACAGAGAATGTACAACTTGGTAAGGTGGCTGAGGTTGGAGTTTCCTTAGTTTGTTTTAGTTCATAAAGGGGGAAGGGAAGAGTTGGAATAGGAAGCACTGAAGGTGGGGAAGGTGGTAAAGGAGAGAGACATCCTAGTTGCCTCGTAATTTTCCTTGTCTCTCTCTGTCAGTAGAGATTTTAGGTGGAATTACATATTCAACAGGAGACAATTTTTCCCCATTCTCTGAATGCATGTTTATATTATTATAACTTCAGATAATAGTGTTATTTTAAGTAGTCTCTAGGCAGGAGGGACCAGTCCTTGAAGAAAGACATCATGTTTGGGAATGTGCAGGGCCAACATAAGAAGAAAGACCCTCAGTGAGAAGGATTGACATGGGATTGTGACATGTGGTGACATGGCACAGGATAGAGCAGGGTGCAGACCTGTTGTTCATAGGGTCACTATGAGTCACAGTTGACTCAACAGCACATAACAACAAAAAGATCTCATCAATCTGTATTCAAGTGTCATTAGTTAAACCGCAGATACCATTCTCATGATATGATGCCAAACTCTGCCTCTTTCAGAAAGAAGAGGGAGAGATTAAGTACCTCCTTAATGACATCTATTTTACATAAGTCCTATTTGACGTCTCTCTAATGATTAAAGCACCATTTTTCAATAAAGGATTTAAGTATGTCAATTCAGCAAATTCCATCATTCTTTTAGGAAGCATGTAACATATAAAATACATGAAATTAGCAGTATTCGTTGCATGCCTAAAAAATTGTACCTGTCTAGGGCAAGTAAAATTTTCCCTACTGGACAGTGTAATGAATTCCTCTCCTAAAGTACTATTTATTTCCTGGTCTGTGTGTGCACAGACACATGAGTAACTCTGACATTTACCTGCATGAAACTTTGGCAGTCTCTTTCACAGATGCTAGTCT